TAGTTGGCGTTGCTGGCGTGGTGAAGCTTTGTGCGAGCACTGCGAGAAAGCGAATGTGAGAGGTCGGTGATCGGTTAAAATTGTAAGGTCTCTACCTTCTAGCAAATGTCTGAAAAATTTAATGCCTTTGAATATGGCAAGCAGCTCGCGGTCATACGCGCTGTAATTTGTTTCCGTTTTATTAAGTTTGCTGGTATAGAACCCTAGCGGCTGTCTTTCGTTGTTCACGAGCTGGTCTAATGCAGCGCCAACTGATTGGTCTGATGCGTCGCAGCGCAGCGTGAGTGGTACGTCCGGTGAAGGGTATGCAAGCTGCACAGCGTTAGTCAATAGTTGTTTGCAGCTTTCGAATGCCTCGGTAGTTGACTTATCCCAAACGATTTTGGTTTTGTCGTTTTTGCGCGCGCCGGCAGTGAGGGCGACAAGTGGTGCATGGGCTTCGGCTGCGCCGGGCATATTTAGCCTATAAAAATTCCATGACCCTAGGAATCTGCGCAGTTCGGAAATTGTTTGGGGCTTCGGGTAAAGGCGAATGGCTTCGCAGCGTTCGTTTGTCGGTTTAGTACCTTGGCTATTAATCGTGTGGCCTAGGTATATTACTTCAGGTTGTGCAAACCTACACTTCTCCAATTTAATGGAAAGACCATGCCGTTTCAGACGCTCCAAAACAGTGCTTAGGTGTTGTTTGTGTTCTTCCATGGACGCTGAGGCGATTAGGATGTCGTCTATATAGACGTGACAGTAATCGAGATCTCGGAAAATGGAGTCCATGAGGCGCTGAAAAGTTTGCGCGGCGTTGCACAAACCGAAGGTCATTACGTTAAATTGAAAAAGAAAGATGGGGCTTGCCCATTCACTGTCAGAGGGTGTGCAAATTCCTTGCTGTAACATAAAATTAAATTCGCGTTTCGCTGCTATTAATTTTTCACCGGCAAGTCTCCGAGCTCGCTCGGCCACGGGTGTACCGTGTGTGTTTATATGGTGGCGAATATTATGTCTGGGAGTCTGATGCTTGGCGCGTTTCGTGACACCGTCGAATTGCTTTACCGTCTGGTACACCGGGTTATGTATCGAAATCGACCCTATATCTGGTTCCCGAATAGATGCAGAATTTTGCTGTTGGCATGAGGGCAGTGGTGTTTCGAGGAGCTGTTGCTTTGCGAAGGTATTAGTGCTGATCGCTTGCGATTTCAGCAGTTTGCCGTTTCGCAGGTCGACTAGCAAACCATTTCGTTTGATAAAGTCTGCGCCAAGGATTGGGTGCGCGACAGTTGCGATTGTAAACTCCCAGGTAAATGTGCGACCAAGCCCGATATCGATTTCTATTGTTTTAGAACCGTATGTGGGTATTGTCGAACCGTTTGCTGCAAACAGTACGAGTTTAGTGCTTGCAGGGCTTGATTTCACCTCTGGAAATGCTCTCCTTGGTAGAACCGAGATGTCGGCGCCAGTATCTACGAGGAATGTGATGTTGTTTTTGAAGTCTGTGATTCGTAGGCGGGATGTGAAGGGACCTTCGGCGGTGCCTACTAAGATTACTGAAGGTCTTCCTAGTTTCCCGAATTGTTTTTGCTGTTCTTAAATTCGCAAGGTTGACGGCATTTTCGAGCTTGGCTGCCAAAACGAAGGTGATAGTAACATAGTTTGTCGTTGGACGAGACGCCAACTCCGACCTTCGAACTGTTAATTTTCTTCGAAAGCGCATGTATTTCTGCCCTGAGCTCATCGATACTGTTTTGCTGTGAAATTGTTTCGACGGGTTTCATCGGCGGTTCGCTGTTGGTTTTATCTGTTTTATGTATCGTCATGATGCTACTCTGAGCGTCGAATATTTTATCTGCTTGCAGAGCCAGCGTGGTTAGGTCTTGTGTTGCGCTGATTGCTAAGACGCAGCGAATATTTGATGGCAGTCGTTCCAGGAATATGGTGCGTAAAATTTCGTCGGGTATTTTGCGAGGAACAAGGTTTCTAAGGCGCTGCAAGTAGCGTGAGGGCTTCCCTTCAATGTACTCGAGTCCCTGCAGGAGACGGCGAAGTTTTATGTCTTCGGTATCTTCGAAGGTGCTTATCAGACGTTCTTTTAAAACCGCATATTTGTCTTCATCGGGTGGTGAAGTAATTATATCTGCGACAAATGGTAAAGCCGTCTCATCGAGGTGGACCAGCACGTATTTATACTTTGCGCCGTCTGAGCGGATTTGGGCGATGTCTAATGCAGCCTCGACTTGTGCAAACCACAGGATGCAATTATCCTTCCAAAATGGGGGCAGCTTCACAACGCGTGCGGACATTATTTGCCCGTCGTCGGCAGTATTCGGAAGGTTAGGTTTTCCGTCGAGTGATGCCTGTGCATCGTTATCGACCATTTTTGAAGGTTAGGATCGAGTCGGTGCTTGTGCGCGTACGTTATAGTGTGAGATCACCAATTTCTGGAGTCGCGAGTTTTCTATTGGTTTTTTACTTCTCACCGTCGGGGTCACCAGTTGTAGCGTACGAGTAAGATGAGATGGAAATTTACTTCTTATTTTTCTTTATTACTTACAATTTACAAAATTTACAACTATAATATTTAATCGGAATATATTATAAGTGTGCTAGCTAGCTAGACGTCCGCCTCGTGTCGCAGTCAAAAATCCAGAGAGCGAGAGAAACTTCCGCGAAGAAGAATCTGCCGCTGTCCATTTTCTATTAAATTCAGCACTAATTCAGCAAGCAGCTGTCAGCTGTTTTTTGGTGGTTGCCACATATATATATATCTCATGATCCGCTAATCGGATCTTAACCAGATTAGTACGGGACCACCTCTGAGACACTACCTTTCCGATGCAAAAATAATTATCGAAATCGGTTGACGTGGTCCAAAGTTATGCGGTAACATACATAAAACAAAAAAAAAAAAAAAAATATTCCGACGAACTGATAACCTCCTCCTTTTTTGGAAGTCGGTTAAAAAGGGGCACAGGATTCCATACTTGTAAGTATATACGATGATTAGGAGCAACGAAAAAAAAAAAAATCATTGTGCTACAGAAAAAATTTTGCCTTGAGAATAACTCTCACTGAGCGACGTAAAAGCAACACAGTCGAAAAGAAAAGTTATGACCAACGAAAAAATTTTAGTTTCGGGAATAACTCTTATAAAGTAACATATAATTTTTTTTACTGTCCTACGACCAACGTTTCCCACCTCCAAAAGAAATCATAACAGTTATTTAAGGTCTCTGCCTAAAACGATACCTCAATGATAATACTTTTAAATAACTTAAAAGATAAATTAAAATTGAAATAAAAATCACACCAAATTATGAATTTCTATATATGTATGTATGTATGGATGTACATTATTGCACTAAATTATTGGCACAGACTATTTTTCACAATGTATGCAACATTTTTTAAGTAAATTTTTGCGCGAATTTTTTATAAAAATATAGTTGAACTACAACAAAGAACATAAAACAAACTCAAGAGTTTGTATACAAGTTGGCATTGTAGTATAGCTAAGTGCCAGTTTGACGGTGGTAAAAAATCGCGTCTTCTTTAAGCAGCCACGGCTTGAGTTCTTTGTTCAAAATCCATTCATCATTTAAATAGCAATTGCGTTTTTGGTTTTTTTTTTTTTTTAAATTACTTATTTTAACCGGGGCACAATTACAAATTTTGTTTACAGATGCGCTGATTTAATCAATACATGTGCTGATTTTTTTCTATTGTACTGATTTTTAAGAGCCTGAAATCAGTACGCAAAATCTACTGAGTTTTTGAGTTTGTACTGATTTTGTACTGATTTTTACATTTAGTAAATACTTTTGTAAATTGGTGTAACTGACATTTACTTGAAGTTTACATGTTCAAAACAATGGTTTTTGACAACTCATACGTGTGAGCAGATTGAAAGCATTCAATTTAAACCATTATTAATATTAAAAAGGTGTCAGCTTGTAATTGTTTCGTTTCCTAGGATTTCACAAAATAAAAAACTGTTTGGATTCAACCCAACCCAACTTCACGATTTGCAGGTTTTACAGGATTTACAGGAAAAGCTGGTTTCGCCATTAATAAATCTGATGAAAGGTGGTGGTGAGTTAATCATATATTAAGTACACTGAGAAGATGACAATAAGAGATAATCGTTTGATTATAATTAAACATCCACTGAGAAATCGGCTGCCAGTATTTCAAACTTAAGACGACTACTACTACGGTGCAATGTAAGTTCTAAAAATTTGTAAAAGGTGCACACTACCAACTCTTGGATATGATATATGTAGCTTTACTTTGATTTTTGATGTTCGACCACCTGTAATTTTACTTGCGCATACACATTCAACACTACTAAATTGCATACGTACTCGAAAATTCGTTTAGCGATAATTCGGTAATATACCTTTTAGTCAAGATTTTAATGTGAATGTTGTATTTTATAAGCCCACCAACTAAATATGTTTAAAATTTGTAGCTTAAAATATGCAAACAGATTCTGGCTCGAGCTCGTCTTCTACTGAAACTGAATGGGCTAAAATTTTTTTTTAAATTTTCTCAATTTTAATAAATTTTCTAGAAAGTTTGAGACTTCACCTCACACGTCTTTTGTTATAGAATCCTTACTAATATTTTAAATCCGAGAGTGAGTTTGTTTGTTTGCTACGCTTTCACGCTTTAACTATTCAACCGATGATCATGCAATTTTGTACACTGCTGTTATTTAGCCCAACTTAAAATATAGGATTCATTTAATCTCGGTTAGTCAAGAGGGCGTGGCACCTCCCATACAAACGGAATTTTTCATACTGGATTTCTCAGGAAATATTTTTGGTGGATTACTGGAGCTTGGTATGGAGATATAAAAAATCATTCTCTACTCATGGATGAGGGCTGCCACCTTTAAAAAAAATCGAATTCAACTTCTTGACTTCTTCGACAACTTGAGGGAGCTATTTATTTGAAAATTATATAAAAAAAATGGATGTCAAGAGGCTTAAAAAAGCTGTAGTTTAATATATTTTTAAAAGGGTTGCCACCTGTTTGAAAAGTAAAATTTAAATTAACTATACCCAAGCCATCTGAAGAATTAAGATATGGTTGTCAAACAAAATATTGCTAAGAAATCTTTAGTCTTAAAGTTTTGAATAATATTGAAGTCTTTCAAAAGGGTTGCCACCTTTTTAAAAATTCAACTTAATTAGTTTAAATTAAATATTATAATACTAGCAGACCCGGCGAACTTCGTCCCGCACAAAATAATTTTTTTTATTGAAACTTTTTGGTTCAACATTTTCACCAACAATTCACGTTTACGATTTCCACTGGCTCGCTCATCGGCTAAGATTATGGTTTGGTGGTCGTTTTCTGCCTTAATTAACCTAACGAAAGCGTTATGTCCGTGATGAAGTTCTTGAAATTCTCTAATTGTATAACATTTCATAGAACGGTTAATCTCATAACGAAATATACTTGAAGAACATTTCCTCTTCACTCCCGTCACGAATGAAAATTTAAGTGAAAATAATTTTTTTTTTTTACTTGAATTTGTTACAGTAAAAGGCGCGCGATGGTTTTGGCGGTTGATTTATCGGTGGTGATTTGAGATTTACCCCTGCACAACTCAACCCTGGTGTCTCCGAATGAAGCTTTAAGGCATAACAATACTGGGAAAAATCACATACATTGGGCCAATCGTAACACATAAAAATTCGATATACTCAATGGTGCAACAGGTTTATTTATTCTGTCAATCAACGCACCTTTTCTAACTTGGCGATTATTCGTAATGACTCCAGCACCACGTGGCAGCTCTTTTTTGCAATAGTATTGCCTTTACCATTACCGATACATATTTTGAATATTGGCAAAAGTGGTGCCAACTGGCGGGTGAATTTGTGAATCTAAACTATCCAGAGCGTTACTCAAAAACACAAAAAAAAATCTTCGTTAAAATCCATCCGAGCATTAAGGAGGATTTACTCACAAACACACCTAGAGATGAATTATCTATACGTTTGTGCGTGCCCTCTTTTTATACCCGAGCGCACTTGTGCACAAGGGTATATTAATTTTGTTCACATAACGGTTGTTTGTAACAGCCAAAACGAATCGAGATAGATATAGACAAATGTATACATAAATGATCAGGATGAAAAAAGAAATCGATTAAGCCATGTCTGTCTGTCCGTCCGTCTGTCCGTCTGTCCGTCTGTCCGTCTGTCCGTGTACACGATAACTCGAGCAAAAATTGAGATATCTCAACGAAATTTGGTATGTAGGTTTCCCTTAATCCAAGGTAGGTTGGTATTGAAAATGGGCGAAATCGGACTTTAACCACGCCCACTTCCCATATAACGGTAATTTCCAGAAATACGAAAACTGCGATATTTTAGTAACTACTGAAGATAATTCACTCAAAATTGATATTTACAATAATTTTTAGACGAAAAATAAGAATATTATAAATTTTTGGAAAATGGGCGTAGCCACGCCCACTTATGGTTACATGTGTATATCTTGGTAACCGCTGCACCAATTTCTTCCAAACTTGGCACAGTTGTTGGCCTTCGTACAGCATAAAAAACCGCCGAAACTTTTTAAAATCGGACAATAACCACGCCCACATCCCATATAACGGTAATTTAGAGAAATACAAAATCTTCGATAAATCAGTAAATATTGAAGCTAATTTATTCAAAATTGATGCTTGCAACAATTCTTTACCAAGAAATACGTTTATGGTAAAATTTTGGAAAATGGGAGTGGCACCGCCCACTTATGATCACATATAAGTATACCGGTAACCGTTCTACCAATTTGTACCAAACTCGGTATGGTTATTGTACTTGCCACGTGTAAGCAAAACGTTGAAAATTATTGAAATCGGACTAATATAACGGCCGATTCTCATATAACGGTAAATTTAAGAAATGCTTGAAACTTCAATATTTCGAAATTGAAGGACGCTAATTTACTCAAAATTGTTACAACTCGGCTTACCATCTAGCGGAAGGTTTCGGAAGGGTGAAAAAACATATATTTAATACTTGCGCCGGGTATTTAATGTTCGGCTCCGCCCGAACTTAGCCTTTCTTACTTGTTAAATATACCGTTTTTCTCCCTGAGTATAAGATTGATTTCATATATCTCCACACCAAGTTCCAGTACTCTACCATGAACATACCCAGAGATATTCGGTATAAAAAATTCGGTTTTTATGGGAGATTTCACGCCCCCCCTCTATATATCTAACATTATTTAGCCTATAATAATCCTTGGGACGTCTGAATCAGATACTGAGCTGTTGCACCTTCTGAACGTGCCCAACAATTTAAATGAATTATTACAATATCGGAATCAATCAAAATGATTTTAAAAGGCGATAATTTCAAAACTACTTGTTAAGGGTTTCCATCTGTTTAAAATCTCAATTGAGTTGAAAAAGTATGACAAGTGAGAAGGTTAAGGAAGTTTTAGTGTGAAAATATATTGAAGAGGGTTAAACAAATTTTAAACGTCCCGTTTTTGAATTGAGTTTTCTTGAAATAAATTTTACTCAGTGTAGCACGCAAATATTTCATACACTCAGCGAAGCGGGTGAGGGCGATCTAGTTAACTATATTTTTATAAGAAGTTTAAATTAAGTAAGAAAAGAAAAACTTTTCAAAACCTGTCAATACATTTTACTACTATTTTCCTAAGCAAAGCTGCAGGGAAAGCTACTAGTTGTGAACTAGAATTCTACCAGTTTACCAGTTGGTATTTTTAACATTGCGATGGCCTACGAGATGTCAATTGTCAGTCTATGCATCAGCATCTACTAGTCGTAATACTAGTAGCATCATACCAGTTGATGAGATAGTCTGCTAATTCATCCCCTATGAAAAGCATTAGTATGCCTTTTTGCTCGCGGCGCTCCAACAGTCGCAATGGCCGACAGAGCAAAGCACTCGCGTGGTATGCCTGAGGTACCAGGTTCAACCCCGGGCGCAGGCTAAATTTTTTTATCTTATTTTTTTTTTATAATATTTCTTTTCTTTATATTTTTGATTTAGGGTTTTCTTTGGTTATTCGTAAATTTAATTAAAAAAATAATATTTTTTGTAATCTATTTTTTTATGGCACAAGTATTTTTTCCCATCTATTTGTTTCTTTTTTTTTGTAATGCAACTAGATTTTTAAAATTGTTATTTATATTTAAATTGAAATAATTATTCCTGCTTACATTGATCTAACTTTAAAAATCTTAACCACCTCCAAGCGGCCTCGAACCTGCGATCCCAGAACCAGAACCAGTAGTCTTCACGTGACGCCACAGCCGACATTTGTAAGAAAAGCAATTAATTGCGTTTTATTTAAGGCTTTGGCAATTCAAAGCCAGATGTCGCTGAACGCTTAAGATCTTCGAAAATGTCGAACTGGTAGGCACATACTAGTTTATGAACTAGTATTTTTTCTAACTGGTTTGGGTTTTCACTGCAGGCAACTAGTCAGCCAACTATCTTTTTTCCATGCAATCAACTGGTATTTTTAACATGGGGATGGCATACGAGATAGCAATTGTCAGATTTCGGTCAGAAATATACCAGTCTCATACCAGTTCAAAATATACAGAAAAATACTAGTCCAATTATGGACTAAAACCACTACTTTGGAAGTCAAAAAATAAAATTAATTTATCAATTTCCAATAAAAAAATTTTGAGTAAGTACACTTGAATACATTATACATTTTTATTTAGCAGCCTTAGATTTGCCAATAATTAGTGTTAAATTTTTTGAGTAATAATTAAAAGGAAAAATAAATACATAAATATTTCAAACTTTCGAACATAAATTTAAATGCATTTTCCATTAAATGATATTAAAAGTAAAGGCTTTCAGGTACAATACATACTATATTTTTATCTTTTTTAATAACAAAACGACTATTTTAGTTCATTTTTGAGGGAAATAAAATAAAAATAAAAGTTTTCTTTAAAATAAATTAAATTCATTAATTTTGCACATTTCAGTCCTTTCTTTTTAAAACTTTTTTAAAAGTAATAAGTAATGTTTAAAATTTTAGATTTGGATAAGAATAAAATGAATACATAATTCGTGCAGCTATTAAATATTCTTAATTTTTGTCTATAGTTTGGCTTGTTGGTTGATAGTTGAAATTAATCAAATAATTATATTAATCGCGTAATTAAAAAAAGTAAAAAATAATTGAAAATGATCAAATATTACAAAATAATCATGCAATTAAAATTAATGAATTAATCAACAATTTTTAATCAATTGTTAATCATTAAAAAGGTGCTAATGTCGGTATTTAATCATTGAACGGTTATCCAAAAAACATGCTTTAATTAATAATCATTATGAATATTAATCATTATTTAACAGGTGTGGCATAATTTAGTACGAACTCAATATTATAAAAGTTATAATATTTTGTGTACTTTATTGTATTAAACTGTCGAAGTCAAATAAAACAGGGCATCCTTTTGTACTTGGTAAAAGTCTGGTATTTTTCGACCTAGTTCGGTTTCAGTCAGGAAATTCTAGTTGGAAACTAGTATTTTTCCTGACTAGTTTGGGGTTTCACTGCAGGGTTGTAGGTACAGCATCGCGCAGTTTGTTTATTGCATTTAGTTTAGTTTAAATGAAACAGTCTGCAGGAAATCGCAGTAGCAAACAAAATGCAGCGCATAGTGTCGATTAGTAAATAGAATTTGTAAAATATAAGTACATATTTTAACAGTTATATTTTTTTTTACAACGAGATGTTTAAATTTTTTTCTTGCCAAAAAGCGGGAAAATTTTGCGTCCCGGCATGTGTTGTACCGGGACCGAGACATGGTTATTAAATCCGGGACAATCCCGCCGAAAACGGGACAGTTAGCAACCGTGTAGCGAACAGACGCTGCATACTTCAGTGAGCCCTTAAACCGAATTATTCGGAGTGGCCCCACCGAAGCTGCAATACAATGACGTCATCGGTAACAAGAACCACGAAGTCTGTTCTGCCTTTTCCAAGTTGGATAAGGAGCAAAGCGATTGGGTCTGGTGGTCAACGAGGACAAGATCAAGTATATCTTGTCATGAAACAAACGTTGACAGTTATAATTTTAAGAAAGTGGAGAATTCCGTTTACTTGGGAACCAGCATTAATACCAATAATAATGTCAGCCTTGAAATCCAACAGAGGATCACTCTTGCCAACAAGTGCTACTTGTGACCAAGGTGTATTAAACAAGGTGTGATTGACAACTCAGTGCGGCTCTCTTTTAAGGTACTATAATGCCAAAAAGTATAAACATACGAATTAACCCTTAGTGATGCATGTATCTTATCAACACTGATGTCCTAGGCTTTTATTTCGATTATACTTTTGTTTTACTTACATTACTTGCATCACATATATTTTGTCAATAAAATAAAACAAATTGTTTATAAAATCGTTTTATCAATTTTCTTGTTTTTAATTGTCCTAGTCTTATGATTTTGCGCGTTTATTTTTACATTTCAATTTTTTATCCTAAGCATTATTCGACACTTATAAAAGTATGATTTAACATTTTTTACCAATTTTATATGTGAGCTTAACTCAAACAATTTTGAAATTAAATTTTTTTCATGTGAACTAGTTTTCCATTAAAGACCTTGCTTCGAGCGGTTTTAATTTAAGCTCTTCCATACTTGCTTGCATGGTTTAATTATTTCGGTAAGCCGAAATATTTCTGTTCGCAACGTGCATTCTAAAGAGTCGTCTGTTTGAGTTTGGTTATCAAAAAATAATGTATCCTGATCGTGTACTAAATCCTCACTTGTATCAGTTTTTCCGTATGGCATTGGGACTGCGCATGGGTATAAACGAGCTCGTTGGAAAGTGTTTGATTTGCACATCACTTTCCTTAAAGTGGTTTTCACAAACGCGAGATGAATCACGTAGTACAACACCAAAGCTTTCTTCCCTTCGCTGCCGTCTTAATTCGCAACTAGGTGGTTTAAAATATCGCACTATTTTCGTGTCCTGACTTTTATTGCATCGTTTGATCTTGGTTTCCTTACATTAAATATTTAAGCAAAGTCGAACGTATTTACTTATTACCAAACTTAAATGTACTTACCTGCTCTACTCGGCGGTTTATCTCTTAACATTTTCACGTTTATTAAGAAAATTTGCTTTGTTTGAAAAATTTGTGTGTATTTTTTTTTAATTCAAATTTGAAAAAAAACACATTTTCAAATGGGTTAGCAATTCAGTTCAATTTGACATTATAGCCTGTTTCTTATGAGAGCAGTGTCAAAATCAATCACACTTTGTTGAATACATTTTGCTTGTGACTGAGTAGTGGTAGGGTAGAAGTAAAGTCCTCGTGCAAAGATCACACTCTATAAGCCACTCATCATGCCTGTGCTGGTGTATGGCCCGAAGACATGGACAATTAAAACATCTGATGAAGCGGCTCTTGGAGTTTTCGAGAGAAAGATTCTGCGAAAGATTTACGGACCTTTACGCGTTTTCGATGGCGAATACAGCAGACGATTTAACGAATTAAAATTCAGCGGCTCCGCTGGCTTGGCCATGTTGTTCGAATGGACACCAAAGCTCCAGCTCTAAAAGCATTCAACTCGGAACCCGCTGGTGTTAGCAGAGAAATAGGGAGGCCCCCACTGCGATGGAAAGACCAAGTGGAGAAGGACTTGGCTTCACTTGGCATTTCCAATTGGCGTCGTTTGGCACAGAATAGAAACGACTGTGCTTTGTTGAACTCGACCAAAATCGCTTAGGCAGTTACAGCGCCAAATAAGAAGAAGAAGGAGTCTTGTCTATACAAATTTGCAATATTTACTACGTTTATGCGTTTGTTCATTTCACTAAATCATACCATAATATGTATTTAATTGCTGTAACATACATTTAGGATCTTCCCCAGAAAGCAAAAATTTCGCATGCAAAAAAGTGTCTATGTTTTTGTGCCGTATACTTAAGGCGTCGTGACTTACCTAGAAACTTAGACGCAATCACTCAGCATTTCACCTATTACCCTTTCTCTTTGTTTTGATTATCAGCATATGCAGTTTTGTAGTCCATTAAGTTTAAGTAGGTAAAAGTGAGAATTTCAAGATACTAGGAAATCGCGTTCATTTTTAATAATTTTTTTTGGCTGACGGCGCTAAGCATTTTCTTCTATATAAAAGGCACCATCCAAAGATAAAACGTGAGTAAAATTTAACCCCTACATGGCTTCTTATATTTTTTATTAACTAATCTTTATATATGGACCACACTAAAAGCTTCTTTTCATATAAAAAGTCATACGTGTCCTACCCGTGAGAAACGTTGTCCAACCCGGGTCAGAGGAATTTCGGATTTTTTTTTATAATGAAGCCATCATTTTTTTGTAGTTTTTGCTTTGTTTGTGCTCCTGGCTCTTGGTTTTATTATAAGACATCAAGTTCACAANTTTTATAATGAAGCCATCATTTTTTTGTAGTTTTTGCTTTGTTTGTGCTCTTGGTTTTATTATAAGACATCAAGTTCACACATGTGAAACAAATTCGCAGAGTTTCCGTCAAATATATCTGCTCCAAAAAGCAGGTTCTTTTTTTTTGTCCCACCCGTGACAGAAAAAACAAGTCAGATTTTTTCCATATAAAAGTAAGCCAGAATTTTTTTTCGTATTCTGTCATAACTCATATAATAGTTAATTCGCTGTAGCTTTATCAAAATGTAGAATTGTTGAGTACTTTATACTTAAATTTAAATAAGAAAGAAATTTGTTTCTGTACAAATGTCAAACCCGTGACGGTGGAATCGCCCATTTGCAATCCGGAGTTGCGATAGGTCGTTCATACAACTTTGTTCGCAGCATTGCCATCTCACCAAAAATGCCACTTTGCGACGTCTTATGAATCACACTAATATGTTTAAAGATATTTTTATCAAAGTTGATAAATATGATATTTGATCACTTTTGTTACACAAATACTCCCACGACCACAGGCAAAAATATTGGCTAAAATTTGTCATTTTCTTTGCCATATATACGTTTTATCCGTGCACTTGCACAACATTCGCATCCGCAAAAGCTCCGCATTGATTATTGCGAATGCGAAAGCGAATGCGAATGTTAAACTTAATGCGGGAGCTCCGCGGTTGCGAATGTGAATGCGAATATTCGCAACAACCCTGATTACCATAATGAAATGGAAGTGGGCATCGAGGCTAACGGTTCGAACAATGGAGCGGAAAATGGTAAGAACAACGGTGTGATCAACGGGGCCGGCAATGGCGATAACGATGGTGCGGACAATGAAAACGATGGTGGCAATGTGCGTCAAGATTCCGATGATTTGCTTCGTATTGGCAGTGGCCGGTTATGCAAAAGTGATTTGGTCGAGCTCCAACGGTGTGACATTGCCCAAGTCTGTGTTTTGGCGGCAGCAAATAATCCAAGCAACTGCGAAGACAGGTGCAGCTGCAAAACTTTAAGAAGGTAAGCGAACTAGTAAAGACGATGAGCACCACAGAATCAGGGGATGCTATTTATCAGCACGGCCGAGTTGTAAGAGTATATAGTATACCTGCCCTAAGCATTACATAAGTTAAGTTATTGTAAACTAGGCATAAGGGGATTTGTGTCTATACCATTAGTGACAGAGTTGTAGTTCTAAAGCGTAACCGCCCAGGACACCATCTTGCAAATATTTAGCGGAATAAAAAAACATTCGATATTTGATAGCGGGAACGACGGAAGTGTTTTAGTAACCACTTAGTCTTCTGAATATTTCAAGATGTAACCAAAATTTACGTTTTTGGGATTTCATCAATTAATAAGCTTGGTAAATGGAATATGTGTCGGCCGCTGTGGTGTAGTGGTAAGCAGTGCGCGCTTTCACTCATCAGCATCTGGGTTCAAACCCTGTTCAAAGCAACATCTCAAAAAATATAGAAGAAAGGTTTTTTCTTAACAGCGGTCGTCCCTCGGCAGGCAATGGCAAACCTCCGAGTGCATTTCTGCCATGAAAAACAGCTTCTCATAAAAATACAATCGCCGTTCGGAGTCGGNGAACGACGGAAGTGTTTTAGTAACCACTTAGTCTTCTGAATATTTCAAGATGTAACCAAAATTTACGTTTTTGGGATTTCATCAATTAATAAGCTTGGTAAGTGGAATATGTGTCGGCCGCTGTGGTGTAGTGGTAAGCAGTGCGCGCTTTCACTCATCAGCACCTGGGTTCAAACCCTGGTCAAAGCAACATCGCAAAAAATATAGAAAAAGGTTTTTTCTTAACAGCGGTCGTCCCTCGGCAGGCAATGGCAAACCTCCGAGTGCATTTCTGCCATGAAAAACAGCTTCTCATAAAAATACAATCGCCGTTCGGAGTCGGCGTAAAACTGTAGGTCCCTCCGCTTTGTGTGAAAACCGATCATCATGAAATTTTGTACACTGCTATCATTTAGCCCAACTTAAAATATAGGACACATTTAATCTCGATTAGACAAGGGAGCGTGGCACCTCCCATACAAACGGAATATTTCATACTGAATTTCTCAGAAAATATTTTTGATAGATTACTGGAACTTGGTACGGAGATATATAAAATCATTATTTCTACTCATGGATGAGAGCTGCCAACCTTTTAAAAAAATCAGATTCAACTGCAATTAAGGGAGTTATTTATTTGAAAATTATATTAAAAAAATGTATGCCAGGAGGCTTAAAACNCACATTTAATCTCGATTAGACAAGGGAGCGTGGCACCTCCCATACAAACGGAATATTTCATACTGAATTTCTCAGAAAATATTTTTGATAGATTACTGGAACTTGGTACGGAGATATATAAAATCATTATTTCTACTCATGGATGAGAGCTGCCAACCTTTTAAAAAAATCAAATTCAACTGCAATTAAGGGAGTTATTTATTTGAAAATTATATTAAAAAAATGTATGCCAGGAGGCTTAAAAAAGCTGTAGTTCGAATATATTTTGAAAAAGGTTGCCACCTGTTTGAAAAGTCAAATTTAAATTAATTATACGCAAGCTATCTCAAGAACTAAAATATGGTTGTCTAACGAAATATTCTTAAGAACCCTTTATTTTAAAAGTTTTGAATAATATTTAAGTCTTTCACATGGGTTGCCACCTTTTTTAAAATTAAATTCAATTATTCTAAATTAAAGATTACATTAAAAGGCGCGCAATGGTTCTGGCGGTTGATTTATCGGTGGTGATTTGAGATTTACCCCTGCACAACTCACCAGGGTCTCCGAATGAAGCTTTAACGCATAATAATACTCGAAAATCACATACATTGGTCCAATTGTAACACACAAGGGTTTGATATACTCATTGGTGTAACAGGTCGATTTAATCTGACATCCACGGCACCTTTTACAACTTGGCGATTATTCCTAATGACTCCAGCGCCACCTGGCAGCCTTTTGTGGCAATAGTATTGCCAATATATATTTTGAATATTAGCCAAAGTGGATCATAAATAAGATTTTTAGTAATAACTTAACTCCAGTGCCAACTGGCGTATGAATTTGTGAAACTACACTATCCAGATAGTTACTCAAAAACACACAAAAAACTTCGTTGAAATCGGCCCGGGCATTTAGGAGGATTTTTCTCACAAACACACATACAGGAGAATTATATATATGTATACGTTTTCACCGCGCCATGCCTCCTTTTCAAATAGCCCATTTTTCTCCACGAGTATAAAATTGATTTCATATATTGCCGTACCAAGTTCCGGTATTCTACCATGAACACTTCCAGAGATATACAGTAAGAAAAAAATCGATCTGAATAGGAGGTGCCACGCCCCCTTTATTTATCGAAATTTTTTAAGCCTATAATCATCCTTGGGACGTCTGAAGCAGGTGCCCGAAATTTCAAAATAATCGGTTCGGTCGTTCTCGAGCTTTGCGAACACATAAAAAACGTATTTCAAAATATACATTATTATAGAAGATTGGTATGAATCGAAATGATTGTGAGTGTCAGACGAAAGAGGTTTAAAAAGGTTGCGAACTGTTTAAAAGGTTAAATTCAAATTATTCAATAATTTAAATGAATTATTACAATGTGGGTTTCAATCGAAATGATATTTAAATGCTCTCATTTCAAAACTACATGTTTAAAAACTCAAACTGAGTTCAGGGAATAAGTTAATTGAAAAAGTATGACAAGTGAGAAGTTTTTGTTTGAAAATATTTTGAAGATGGTTAAACAAATTTTAAACCTCCTGTTTTTTAATTGAGTTTTCTTGAAATCATTTCATACACTCAGCGAAGCTCACCCGCTTCGATCTAGTAATTAAATAATTTTTAAATTGATATTCAATTAATATATAATTATAATAATATATACTTTAANCGCTTCGATCTAGTAATTAAATAATTTTTAAATTGATATTCAATTAATATTTAATTATAATAATATATACTTTAATNGGTTAAACAAATTTTAAACCTCCTGTTTTTTAATTGAGTTTTCTTGAAATCATTTCATACACTCAGCGAAGCTCACCCGCTTCGATCTAGTAATTAAATAATTTTTAAATTGATATTCAATTAATATATAATTATAATAATATATACTTTAATATAATAATATAATAATAATAATAATAATAATAATAATAATAATAATAATAATAATAATGGTAAGGGCTAACTCAGGGCCTTACCGGGGTTACACAGTGCGGATTGTGAACAGCCTACTTCGGTGGGTTGGCTGCGAATAACCAATAAGCAGTCCCAGACCAAGAGCGGCAGGAGCCGAGGGCCTGATTTAAAAGATCAGAAATGCTTGATTAATCTTCTGTGTCCGGGCGAACAGATGCCGCCTCCCAAAAAGCATCCCAGGATTGAGACCAGTTAGATCCTGTTCATGGCATATTGGAACATGTATGCGATTAACTCGACANGCCTCCCAAAAAGCATCCCAGGATTGAGACCAGTTAGATCCTGTTCATGGCATATTGGAACATGTATGCGATTAACTCGACATTGGGCTGGCGAAAGCAGTATTCCACCACTTTAGTATGTGAGGGTGACACCTCACAGAAATG